GTTCCATTCAAATGATTGTTTTACAATGATCCGTAATGTTGCAATTTAGTCAGTACACGAACGATCCTTACGAAATCAGCCTTTTGATCTCGAAGTCGGATGTCTACGAAGTCTTTCATTCTGTTTAACAATACCCTGTTGAAGACTTTGCCTGGTACTGAGAGAAGAGTGAAGACTCTGTAGTTCTTACACCTGCTGTGACTTCCTTTGTTTGGTATTTTGATGAGGTATACTTCTTTTCAGTCCGATAGTACTTATTCCTCGTCCCAAATCTTGTTGAAAAGAATGTGATGTATTTTTACAGTCTACTTTCATTGCCTGTGCTAGAACGTTTTCTGGTGCTGCTGGTTTTCCGCTCTTGATTTGTCTGTTGACCATGCTGATCTCTTCAATTGTTGGTGCGCCAACATCGATTGGGAGGTCCGTAGATGCTGCTTCGATGTTGGGTGCGTTCAGTGTAGATGGTCGATTCAGGAGTTCCTTAAAGTGCTCTAACCATCTGTTTCGCTCTTCTTCAATGTTGCTGATTACTTTGTCACCCTTTTCACTGGTCGTTCTGGTTTACGATAGTTTCCAGCGGGCTTCTTTGTTGAGTCGAACAACTGTCTCAAGTTTCCGTCTCTTGTAGCCTTTTCCACAGTCATTGCTTGATCACACACATATGCTTTTTTAGCTCTGATTATTTTCTTCACTTGCCTGTTTGCTTCTGCGTGTTCAACTTATGCCTTGGCTTTCTTTGCTCTTGTTCGGTTGATGTTAATTGCTGCCCTCTTGTTCCTCCTTTCTTGAATTCTATCAGTAGTATCAATAGAGATCCATTCCTTGTGATGGTACTTCTTGCGTCTCAGAACCTCCTGAAAGGCTGAAGTAATTGCCTCTTTGATCCCTTCGTAATTGTTCTCCACGTTAGTTTACTTTCCATTGAGCAGATAGTGAGAAACCTGGAACCTTCGTTGAATATACCAGTATCCCGACGAAAGACCATATTAAACGTTTGTTATGTGAACTCTGTTGTCTAGTACTGTCTGAGTTTCACTTTCATCTTGGTGACCAGTGAGCGGCGAACTAAGGCTATATCAGCTTCTTTCTTGGTTCTCACGTTTTCCATGATCCTTCTGAACTTTTTACTGATGCCAGCATGGTCTATTTGTTTCGGTGTAGTGTGACTCAATGAAATCCATGTATGTTCATTTGTGTTGGGTTATTGTGTTACCCATGAGCAGTTTCTTGAGGTCACATGTGTTTGCAAATCTCTCACCATTTTTGCCCCTTTCTCCCAGTTCATGTCTCATCATGTCTTTATATGCCAGGTTTTCCATTCCGATCTTGGCGTTTCGACCACCCATCAGAATGTTTGAGTCTTTTGTTGAACAGTTCTCGACGATTAACTGAAGCCTTTAGTAGAATCGAACTTGAACGTCCTCATTGTTGTCGTCGGTAGGTGCATAGCATTGGATGACGTTGACTGTTATGACCTCTTTCTTTGTTTTGAAGTATGTTTCAGTGATCCTGGGTCAGTGAGATTCCCATGTTATCAGTGTCTTTTGTACTGGTTTGGACTGCATCAGTGCAACTCCTTGTGGGCCTGAGGCACTTACTTCTTCATGATCGGAGTATAACAGCAGCTCATTTGAAGCTGGTCTTAAATGTCTAACCTGCGTCCAAGCACCTTCAGGTTGTATCTTTCAATTTCAGCAACAATTTGGAAGTCTTCCTGTCTCTTACATTTTACAAACATCCAGTGTACCTAAAAGAATAGTTTCTATGGTTGTCGGAAGGGGCATTGTTGTCGTGACTTCCGAAGAAACTTGACCTTCATAATCAGACGACATAACGCTTCTGAAAGAAGACCTTCTGTTGCCAGGGTGGGGTGAGAATGGTTTGAATTGATTTTTCTGGTTGGAGTTGGTATTTCACGAGATTAGCTCGCGAACCCCTCTCTCTTATTCGGTTCGGGAACGTCAGTAGCCCTAGGGGGGCTCCAGGCGCAGTTACAATAAATTTAGGCCTCTAGTATTTTTTAACGCGTCATCACATCAGACACGCTACAGGACATTCGGATGCGAACAACGAGAATTAGAATACTTCCGTTTCCTCTTATAGGGACGTGGCTTCATAATAAAGATCGACCACAAACCGTTGAGTTATTTCTTCAACAAGTCATACGATTAGCATTTAACACGTGAAGTGCGAGCCTATGTTTTGCAATCTAAAACGGACATCCTATTCATCAAGCAACATTTGACCATCGTAGGAGATCCTTTCTAAAGTAGGGAAATCAACACACTGTCAAGGCAAAAAATATTGATTTTAAAGTTGTGGCTAAATTACTAGTAGACGACTCAGGTTTACAGATCTGCAGAAAAAAATTAACCTAATACTCAAACCAGCATGGATACTTTTTTCTGATTCTTCCATCATCTGTGTCATTTCAACAGACATCGGCCGTACATCAGCTGAACTGGTCTAGGGCACAATCCCGTTTTTACTAGAACCACTGGTAGCCCAAAAAGATAAGAAAACCAACTGAATCAACTCATTTTGCTGGTTGTTTGGAGCAAACTATAAGGCAGATTAAGTCGAAATCTCGAGCGCACTCACCACACACAACCGGATAAACATTTGTAGACAAGTAAGTGTTGATGCAGTGAGAAACCACTAAAGACACTATATGAAGGATCTTACCGATTCATCAAACAGACATTTAGACACTTCATTTTCTGCAAGAATGGATAGAAAGAGATAGATAGGGTGAAACATGCCTTCATGAAAGACCAACAAGCATAAGAGAATTCCTTTCAGACAAGCAGACCGGCTAAAACGAACACACAGAGCAGCAATAATCAATCAAAAATTATGAGACAGTGCAGTGGACAGGCTTAAACGCTATGTTTATCTTCTGGACTCATAAAAAAATTAGATCAGTAAATAAACTAATGGAGATAAATTAACATAACACAAACATTTATTCTTTTGTTACTTAATGAATATATTATTGTTTATATTTTTAATTGTTTAGCTACTTCACAAGCATTTCATTATCATTGTTTATGATGCTCACTTAAACAAACAATAACATATAACAGGCTACTAACATGGACTAACTTTCTGAAAATATACAATGCATTTATTTTTGAACAATATATTTTCAAAATAATACCGATTACTGTGTGGGAGAGAACAAACCAGATTCCAGTGGAGGAGGAAATCAGGAAGAAGCGGTGGAAGTGGATAGGACACACACTACGAAAAGCACCTAACTGCGTCACGAGACAAGCCCTCACATGGAACCCTCAATACAAAAGGAAAGGAAGAAGGCCAAAGAACACATTACGCCGAGAAATAAAGAAATATATAAGAGTAATGAACAAACATTGGACAGAACTGGAGAAGGAAGGCCAGGACAGAGTTGGTTGGAGAAAACTGGTGAGCGGCCTATGCTCCATTGGGGGTAACAGGCGTAAGTAAGTAAGTAAGTGTGCTCGTGTACGCGCATTAGCTTTCCCATTCAGTCTTTTTCACCAGTGTTAACTATGAAAACTGTGGGGGGAGCTATGTGGGGGCGATTAATGTCGACTTATTCTGTAAACAAATTTCGTAATTTTTCACATTTTCGTGATTCCACTCCATCACCGTTTTGATATTGATAGCTGTTTGGTCCATCACACCTTTCGATTTTACTAAAAATGTTGTTCCACTTACCGAATGTGAGAACTTCACACTAATAAGTGGTGCCAAGATTGAAGCCGTTCCCTTTGGTTCGGTAGAAGGAACTATTGTCATTAGGGAAGAGGTATCTTTGCTTAGATAATGCAGTTTTTCAAACAAAATGACAGTTCTTTGGTTCACTTCTGTGAATCCTCTTAAGTTGCAAATGATGATCTCGTTAATGTAGGTTGTGTGACAAGGCGAATATTTGAAGATAATGTTTACTGGAGCTCTGAGCCGTCTCCTTAAGACGTAACCACTGGTAAACCCCGTTTAACAGAAGATGCTATTACTACAGCTTCAGGAAGGGAGTTGGTGGGCTTTTGTGTCAGCACTTTCGTGTTTTATGAGTTAATGTCCTATTCAGCTTGACTTATCATCATTCAATATTTTTATGACGAGATTGTAGGGGTTGTTGGATTTATTTTTGCTCGCTTTTTATTGTCACGTTACGGAGATAATCTTTGATATTGCTTAGCGTTACAGCTCAACCTTTTGGCTGCATTTGATAAACGGTTGTGGTTAATGTGGCCTAAGTAGAAATATAGGCAATTGTTGTCAGCTCGTTTTATTGTTGAGAATACTTACTGTAATGTATGTATAAATGGTCACCACTTTCAAACATAACTAATAATAGAAAAATTTAAGACATAATGCGGATATGCTAAGAATTTCAAAACACGGTCTTTCATCAATGCGTGTAGGTAGTATGGGAAGAAGGAATACAAACCACAGGCATACACCTGGTTATCTAGTTTTCGCTTGAAGCTGTTCTTTGGAGGATCCGTATCCACCTTCACCAGTACTTATTTGCTTTAGTCACCCCTACTGAGATTTGAACTTAACACCTATCATTTCAGAAAAAAGATGGAAGTCTAAGTGAGAATATTGCAATCACAGGTTTACATCATGTGGTATTTATGTAAGTAACATTACATCCTCGTTGATTCGATCATATATAAGTTAACGAAGTCTTAGATTGTATGGTCAAATATAGGTCAAAATATTTATGAAACAGTTTATAATCTAGCCGTGAAGATCACTAGTTGAATAAATGAAAACCTTGTGGTTGAAATAATCTGATTTCTATCATCTATCGGTTTTGTTTTTCATAAGCCAAGCTATGAGAATGTGAGCATGTGTGCATGAGCATTTTCATTCAGCAAAATGAGAATGTATCAGTCAAGGTAAACTTATGACGACAGAAATTTAAGCAAAATGTACTATACGTGAACTACTCAGTTGGGGAGGTAAATCAAAATACAAAGATAACAGTAATGGAAAACGTGATATTTAATGAAAAGGTCTTAAATTTCGGCCATCAAATCATACAACAAGTAGTACGTTAATTGTGTTTCACATGATATGTTGTTTAGTGTATCGAAAAGTTTGAGTTCGGAATACAGCAAATGAAATTCGAAAAAAAAATCAACCAACGTACATAGGAGACTGTTTCTAAAAGTTTGCTCAGTTTACTTTAGTTGCTTGTCAGTAGCCCAACCAAAAACCTCAAAAGTCAGTAGTAAATTGTGATTCACACAGTTAATCACTGTCTTGACTGGAACGTGTAAAATGTTTTTTTAGAAATTTGCTAAAACTAGCTTTGGTAACAGTAGGTATTTTGAAGGTGTTTACTATGTTCGAGTTTGTTATCGACTTAGATGAACATGTTAACAGGTTTGATTGTAGTGGATTAGCTCTTCTGTCAGCCGGTAAACGAGGATCCCTGCCATGTTGTTCACTTTCATGTAAATGACCAATTAATAGCACGAAAAGATCTGCAACCATATGATTTAACGATGCAGAAACTTCAATAAATTTTACTCCATGCATTGAGGCTAAATGACGACCTTCTGTTATAAAGAAAAGAAAATAGGAATTCTTTAAAATATGAGATAAAAAAATTTGAAATAATCACTTTTTAAAAAATTTCGTGTTTAATTCTCTTAAACTTCACTCTCATCATCAAGTTTTGCCTACAGGTTTTAGGAAATTAGCTTTGTCAATTAGTATCCAACCTGTTTATAATAGTTAGCGAATATTTACTATGTAAGCGGGTATTTTTCAAACAGAAATCTTAAATAAACTGTATGTTCCTTATGAGTACTATCAAGTATTTTATTAAATATTCAAATTTGTAAATTAAATAGGATAACTGAAATGTTGTACTGAAAAATTTGCTTACTAAAAACGTTAATAAACAAAAAGAGTACAGTCATTATTCAACGGATATGTAACACTGGACTATAGCGAAATGAGGAGAGTTCCGATTTCAAACAACTGGTCTTTTTTTCTAATATTTGTCGTTATTTCTGAGATATAATTTTAATGTGTTTTATGACATTTAATTCCTGACACCACCTATCATTATCAGTGTCTTGATCAAGATCTAAGATAAAATATCACATAACAGGAATAAGAAGGGAAATCTAAATTACCTAAGTTTATCGTAACCAGTCATACCTAAGCTTACTCCGATGATTTACTGTTCTTCGTTTTACATTTTATGGGAAAAAAAACGTGGAAATCATATATATATATATATATATATATATATATATCACCTATCATGTGTCCTGTTTTAATGCCCGTTTGTTTTAATTAATCTTTCAGAAATTAAAGTAAGTTAGAAAACTAAATGTAAGCTGTGTTATTTTCATTTGCTTTCCTATCTAACCAAGTGATTAGTTTATTGTTCGTTCTTAATGAGAAGTGGAAACAAACAGCCTAATCAACCTTAGCTTTACCTGATTCCCAACCGAAATCCGATGTAATTACTTTATTTTAATATTTATGTGTATAATTGAGTAGTTAAATGACAAGTAAACAAGCTAATTAGCAAAGAATGTTTCAAAACGCAAGAAGCTATATTATGATAACGAAAAAAATGATTGAATAATTTTTGTCTATTTTGATGACATTTACAAAAATTTACGTGATCAAAAACATTAAATTACTGATACAAATGATACCGATTTTTATGCGATTTGTTTAAAATAGTAACCATTACATGGTTGTTGTTTTCTGTGATGAATGTTTTTTTGACGATAATTTGAAATGATTGACAATTAAATTGTTCCTATTTGTTTAACCATGTTTTTATTTAATCTGAATTATTGACCATTTAACATTTTTATATATGTCATTAAAAAAAGTTGTAGTTGGAATTAAGTAGGTCATTGTAATCGCGATTGTTTGTTGCCGTAAATGTGTTGACTTCTTTGTTTAGATTACAGAGAGCAGATATGTCAGTTGTAAACATAACTGATTTTCGTTTTCGTTAATTTTGTTACTGACCTATAATACGCACAATAAACATACGTAATTAGCTAATAAAATTACAACCTTGTTGATGAATAAACACAGATGGATGGCAATGGAATCCAGAACATGTACTTTGTTCTTTTTGGCACTCATCAGTTGAATAAGCCAGCCTCCCAAAGTTGATATCCACACCGACATAATGACAATATCGAGGAAATCTGCACAGGATGCATATCGTCAAAAGTGACTCATCAGTTGCAGTCCTAATATATCAATAGGAAGTTTCAACACAGCCAATACAATTGAATTGTTGATAAGTGGTGAAGTAAATTATGATTTTCCATTTATTCATAAAAACTTATTATCAATGAGATATTACTATGCTTAAAAAAACAAACAGTAAACTTCAAATAATTGTTAAAATAGCAGAGAGCTCTGAAGTAACAAGTTAAACCGAGTGATTTGTATTACTCATTGAGTACAACTCATCACTGAGTACATAATGAGCATTAAACATAATCCATATTTAAAAACTACAGTCACATAGTTGGTGTTTATGAGATTTTCAAAAATGTCCTTATCAATGTCAAAATACTTTATCGGTTGCATTCAAATGTATTCCACTTTTAACAGCAGGTGAAATCGACAGAATATAAAATGTGTGATAAGATACTTTGGAATTTCAGGTTTTCTATACATTCGAGTTACGTTTAAATTATTATTTGTGTACTCTGGTCTAATTTAGATGTTTTATACGAGGATTAGTGAAAACTAATTTGAGATTTAAAGTTACAATTACATAGCTGGAAATCGATAACTGACATCATTAATGTAGTATTTAACGTTGATGATAAGCAAGATTCAAGATTTTTCACTGGTTAGTCAATGAAGAAGCTAAATATCAACTTGATTTTGTATAAGTTGATTCAGAATTGGGTCTTAGTCAAAAACCAGTGAAAACAAGGGCCTACTGGAGAGCTATTTCATCCTAGTGAGTGATGTGATAGAAACTATAAAAAGTAAACAATCTTCACAAATCCTTCAGATCTAAAGTTAAAGGATGGTCGTATGTGCATCAAGAGTGATTTGGTTGGCGTGAGTTGTGATGTATAGGAGAATATTGCCTTTCTCTTTATGTATGTTGAGAGCTTTTGCTGCGGAGACTGCTGCTACACTGGTCTTCTTCTCTTGCATTGGTTGTTGCGTGTGCGATAGAAGAGCCAGGTCATTCAATTGATTGTTCCACAATGATCCGTAATGTTGCAGTTCGGTCAGTACATGATTGATCCTTACGAAATCCAGCCAGGTGATCTCGAAGTTAGGTGTCTACGAAGTCCTTTATTCTGTTTAGCAACATCGTGTTGAAGACTTTGCCTGGTATTGAGTGGAGCGTGATGTCTTTGAAGTTCGCGCACTTGCTGATTAAATGCTAACCAGAAAAGTGTTTGCCGCCTAAACTAAAAATTCTGATCACCATCTCAGATGTGATGATGGATGTTCATCGCTGTGAAATTTTAAAATGAAGCAGCTGTTTTATGTTTCTTTGTTTTGATTAGCTGCCTAACTTGAGCCTATCTAAAAATATTCAGTAATCTCTGAAAATTACACACAATAACGATTTAATTATTCATTATATTTCATTTTTAGTTATATTCATTATTATTTTCTCTATACTGAAAATATTTTATATTGATTTTGATTAGTGTACAAGATAGCAGTGTATTTAAACTTCAGCTTAGACAAAATAAAAGAAAATCTTGACTCGTAAATTTAACAATCCTATGAATCCGTCTTTTTGCACAAAAAAAAGAACTGAAAGTTTAATTTTTAATTAATTTTTTCAATAAAACTGAGAATAGTTTCATTTGGAAGAATGAATTTTCATCATATCAAACATTTCAAAATTTTGTTGTATTACATGATGAAGTCAACCCAACTTGCATTATTTTCAAAAGGTTCTCGTTAATAAACTTTTCGAGGAATAAACAACATTTTTTTTTTGTTTTGAATTGTAACTGATTCAATCCAGCCTACATTTTAACTTATTAATTAATTTTAATTTGCAAAGAAAATATTTTTTGATTTCTTTGATAATTTTATTATTTGATAGTATATGTATAAAATAAAAAACTTTTCTGTGTTGACGAATTGAATTTCAGTAAGTACACACAAACATAACAAATTTTATTTTTAATTTAGAAGATTCAGTTTATTGTTTACAGAGAATTTACTATAGAATTTTACCCAATGTTATCTTGAAGCAATTGAGCTGTATAATGGTTAATATTATTCCTAGGGACTTGTGAAAAACAGGAGAAAACTTCTTTACTTGAAATATTTTTTTATCATATCACAAGATATTCTCTTAACTAACCTCTATGGTTGAGAGATTTAATGCAGTTGAAAGTAAGTTGGAACAAAATGTACCAAAGAATTTCAAGTCATCAAAGCTGATGTTTCATGTTGAGAAGATGAATTGAAACAGCAGCATCACAAATACACTTTGTCAGAAACAACAATCATTTTGCATCACAGATGGTTAAACATAAAGACTGAAAGATATTAAGTCTGTAGAACTCAGTCTATACAGTCCTGCTTCTGACAATCTGAAACGCGGAATAACGTCAGGTCGGTGTCGAAGATACATCTGACGATTATAAGCCATTTTGATTTAAACAATACTTAAATTGAACTCATTTCTCAAATGACAATTAGCGCTCATACGACCATTCGATAAACAAACTTCTAATATATTTCCATCTTCACATTAGTGATGGTATAGGCTGTGGCTAATTTTACTGTATTTCAATGAAGTTTTACCTGAAGTTACAGTATTAGAATCAGGAAAGACTCAACATGTAATAATTTTTTACTTTGGATCGGCGAAAATTCCTGATTACTTGACTGCAAATGCAGATAAACTATCTTCTGTTAGTGTAACATAATCGTCGGTGAATTAAGTATACTGTCCAACTAAAGTTGGAAATATTTCTGAATTGGCGAAAGCTCCCTGCAAATAAAAAGTTGTTTTCAAGCACTTCTAACCATGTATTTACAGTTGAAGATGCTTACTACTCTGTATGACGGACTTATTTTAATTCAGTGGCCGTTAAAACCACTGACTGGTTAAGCTAAAAACTGGATGAATTAATTCAAATGTAAAGTGATATTTTCAGTTAGAGCTTTGGAGATTTGTTTTTTTACACATTTGAAATCATTATCGTTGAATGCCGGCCCAGTGGTCCGATGGTTAGGCGTTGGCGCACAATACTGAAGGTCCCGGGCTCAAATCCTGCGAGGTGTAGGAGTCGTAGATGCTCACTGCTGGTGAGTCCCAAACCAGGACGAAACGGCCGTCCAGTGCTTCCAGGTTTCTAATGGTGGTCTAACAATGATTGATTGGTTATTTCAAATGTGTAAAGTAATATTAAAAAGTTCTGACTATACAATCATTTATAATTGTGCTTTTTGTAAAGTGAACAAATTACATATAAAGAATTTTCATTTTGTTATAGCCGAATACAAAATAAAGAAATATGATATTTAGACAACTCCTACTAGTTAGAAATTAAAAATATGATGCTATTATCAAAATGATACTTACCATCAACAGAAACTTGTCTGCCTCTAACTAAATCTGATTTATTTCCAACAAGATAGATTAAACCAGGTACAGTTGTCATTGGATTGTTCATTGTTTTTGATGACAACATTGGACACTGTCTAGTATCATTCAGTGGTGTCAATGCATTAATAATTAATCTAGCTGCTTCAAAACTGTTTTGATCATCAATAGCATAGACAACAAGGAATGCATCAATACAATCACGTATTTGTACTTCCTGTAAGGAATAAATAAATAAAAATAGATAACTAATTATTAAAAAGATTGTCAAAAAGAAGGAAATAATTAATGTGTATAGATGAATTGAAATCCTGTTGAAAATTCTACTTTCTGAAGTGATTACTTAACTTAAGCTTACCAATGTCTATTAATCACAAAAAAAACACAATATTAATATCAATCACTAAAAACTATAACCATAACAGAACAATATCCAGTTGATTTGACCGTTGAAATCATACATTTTAAGCTGATTTGAAGATTTCAGTAAATTCTTATGGTGGTCAGTAGAGTGTCAATGTAAGTGCTAAAACTAATTTCATAAATTATTCATCATCTAAAGCTATTAATGAGTCTAACTACTAATATCGAATCAAACACAAAGATGATGTTGAATAGCAATTTATTTTGTTGTTCAATTATCAATCGAAATTATGTTAGCATTCATGTAGAGTTTATGTTAACAAAGATAAATCATTCATATATATCTATATATATTACTCAAGAATTTTGACAAATAAATTTTAGACAAGCTATTTTGTCTTAATCTTATAAGGTAATGATCCATGAAAGAATTGCCAAGGGATTTACTGTATGATTGACAGAATTGAGAAAGAGTGGAGGAAACTATTTTATGCATGAATGATCCAAATATGTTAGACTTAAATAAAACTGAATAACAACGGAAATGGTCAGAACGTAACATGATAAAATGTAATCCTTATTTTACCATAGAGGAAGAATTAAATCTTCCTCATAAATATATCCATCTCACAATGTCCCCATGGGAATTGAGTCACTGATTGTAAAATAAATATCTAAATATAACCTCAATGAGGAGCATCAAATAATAAATAAATAAACCGTCTTAATTATACAGTAAATTTTCTGAAGCTCAAAATAAGAACCACCGAACATTCACTCAGCGGCATTCCGTATCAGATTGTAAGGGTCCTGTGTACGACTCCTGGGTATATACCAATGAACAGTATCACACTAAAACAAAACAACTGTTTACGGCTTGCCATACTTTATTGATACTCTAACTATTGTCAGTCCGGTTGGAATACTATCTACAAATTGAATTAAGCACTATAAATAGTTGTGAGGGTATAAATGATGTGAATCTATGTGTATGACCTTTAAAGGTTATGTCATTGTCATTGAGTTTAGTTTGATAATGATTTGAGAGTAAACTCGTTATACATAATAATGTAATACATGAATTTATATGAAATAAAGATTATAGATGCAATATATCACAAGAATACTGGATAACTTTAAATCTTATGAAGGAATCATCACATTTTGAGAATTAAAGATGATATTTAATAGATAGATAATAATAATCACAAATTTGTGTGACTATAAACTACTCTGAAAAATGGACCTTCACTGCCAAATATCGTGGGATATAGTTAGATTAACATTGAAATGACCAGAGTGTGTGGATTTCTATGGAGTGTAGAATTCAGCTAAACAATTGTATAATCATATTTTATATTCTTAACAGTGAAAAATTGTATTTAACGTGACAATATAACTTTTTGAATGTAAACTTTGATTTTGGTGAGTTGCTATGATACAAAATCTAGCTCACTGTCAAACGATCTAGTCATTTCATTTTTTTTTAACCCATACTTTGAAATTCAGATAAATGTATCAGTTAATTATAGCTATTTTTTAGTCTGTTATCTATATTTAACTGTATTGTGGTATGGGTAATTGTTATATATATGTGTGTAATGATAATTTATGAATATTGGGATAAATAAAAGTTAAAATTATTTTTTGTTTTTGCTTTCTAATAATAGCCCTATTTCTAATGTTGTTTACAAGCAGTAATACATAATTTACCTATTCACTCATTACTGGTAATTGAAGGACAACTAGATTCATTTGTAGACAGAGTTAAATGTGTACATATGTCTTTTCAACGGTATTATATTCATTGTGTTAGACCAAACAAACTTATGATAAAAAAAACTGAGGAAATTGCAAGAAAATACACTCTGTCGAACAACCAAACCTTCGAAACCTTAGTTGTTGTATTATAATTGAAGACTGACTAACAATACGGTGAATAACTCACCGTAGACGGTTTCTATTTTCATAAAGACGCAGTGTAAAGTTGAGTACTGAACAGTTGTTGCATTCAAGAGTAGAACGTCCTAGAAATGAGTAACTATGATCCCGTACGACATTCAGTACAAACTTGAAAGTTTCATGATGCACCCGATTCTAATGAATTTAGTTTCAAATGATTCACAAAGTCAACCTCACTCAAGTGGCAGTACTCGTAGTATCTTTTCGTTGATGGTTAGCGCATACTTTATATGAATTACAGTTGCACACTATTATCGAGGGAAAAACCAAGTTGAGAAACCTGGTCATGGATAATCAAACACCAAACGGTTGTTAAGTTGAAGTCGGTACATCTTGAATATTCTCGAATACAGAATTTTAATTACTATAATTTCATCACATACATCACATACATCTAAGATTTTACATTGAAGTGAGGTTTATTTTGTGGTGGTGTTTCGTTCTCTGAGTTGGTTGTTTTGGTTGTGGAACATCATCAGCAAGAACTTCGTGCTGATGATGTTGTTCAGAAGAACAATGAAAGCTCCACAACCAAAACAACCAGCTCAGAGAACGAAACACCACCACAATCATCCACCTGAGCTACAAATTTTCTCCACCATCTCAAGAGGTTTATTTTAACCATTAGCCAATAATGATAAAAGGGAACTACTGTTTTCCTATTGAGAAACTTTTCTTATCAAAGCACACCTAATATTCGAAAAGGCTTTGAAGTTAAGACCTACAGACATCATGGTGGACATAATATCATTAGAACAATCAGCTAAATTCAGGTGGCCTTCATTTTCAATGTCTAATGGTTTTCTATGAAACAGAACAATTCATTTTGAAATTAGTTATTCTTGAGTACACAACAAATGTTTATTTGAAAGCTCATTGGAATGATCCAATGGTTTCCGAGTTGGTTGCAATGCCTCATCCCCACTCTAAACTAATTTCCATTGCCTAGAAGCAATCAAACATTTGCATCATTGAATTGAATGAAGAAAACATAACTTCATTCTACATATATTTCAAAAGATTGAATTTTTTTTACCGATTCTTAAAAGGTTATTTAAGGTCATTTTCTGTCAAGCTTTTCTCAGATTTTAAATTGACTATTCTCGAATATTCTTGAATAATCAGCATTCATATCTCCTGTTATTCATCATCTATTGAATAAGATAATAACTTTTTCATGTTAACTATATTTTTATTTGACTGATAATCTTCCTAATTTATCTATGTGTATGTCATTCCTAAACAAAAATTTTTGACTCAATGACCCAAATTAAGTGAAAACATGATTTTCACACCTACTCTAATTCTCTGTCTACCTCAATGCTTAAATAACTACTATGAATATACCACTTTACAATGAAACACATTTATATTTATAAAAATAAGGTAAACATAACATGAAATGAACTAGATAATAATAATCCTATGCCTTTTTTTTCTACGATAGAATAGTTATCCGGAAGGTTAGTCAATTTTCTTTAACTATAAACAATCTATTCTATTTTTTTTAACTGATCATTTTATTTTCTTGTCTTGACTTATTTCCTATTCTTGTAAAACAAAAAATAAATGGATTTGGTGAAATAAAGTTCATACAAATTTTCTACTAATAAAAACATAGTTTATTTAAAAATAATATAGGTAGGCGCAACAGTTATATTGATACTGCGGCTAATGATAATTTTACTCTTTAGATGATATTCATCACTCATTGACACCTGGTATAGGGTCTCACTTGGATCCAGGGGATAGTAGACAGCTAAGTAAGGGGACTAGTAGGCAATGCTTAAAAAAACAAACCTTTTCAAGGGTTGAACATTGTACATTTAGATGGTGTAGCGAAGGTTAATCTACTGGCTTGGCATCCTATATTAAACATTTCAAACTTCAAATGGTATATGACCGAGAATCCTTTGCTTCATAGTTAGCAGAAAAATTTAACAATGCAGTTTCACGTTGGGTGTGACCTGCTTTACGTAGACTCCGTAAAAATTCTTTTTAAACGTTATAGTGCTGGTTTTTTAGCAGTAAAATACAGACACATACAGCTTTATGTTTTCGTTCAAATGTCAATATTAGTCAAAATCCAAAAAATGTTAATTTATGAATTCATGCTGTATCAAACGAACAAATCACGATCCGAATGTTCAAACCGAATTAATGAATTAAGAATACTACTTAATTAACCATTAGTAGTGGAGGCAATAATTTTCTTAATGAAAATTATGAAATTCTTGTGAAAAAACACTGATTGGTGGAGTGTATTCACGCCGGGACTAACGCAAATATGATTACCATAAGCAATAAATGGTTGAAATTCGAAATTTAAATCATTAGATTACAATTCACTGATCATAATATTAATAGGGCGTTGTGATGCATAAAGCTCTTAGATTTAAGCTTCGTTTGAGTGATGAGTGTTGCGCATTTCTGAAAAGCTCCAAAATATTTGAACATAGCTATTCAATGATTCTTGGTTTTTAAATCATAACCTAGTTTAAATCAGACAGCGATATATGTTATTAGTTTGACATCCTCCGCGTGTTCAGTATATTCACATACAATTGAAAGTAGGAAATGAGCATGAAAAATAATTAGCAAAGCTCATTCACTTTCTTCTCTCTCTCCTGTTTTTTAAGGTCAATACATCAAATAGGGTGACGGGATAATTATTTTCTTTAACTTTTCATTTTTAAACAAGAGAAAATGAATGAATAATTAAAATTCTAATTAAACTGATGATGACCTAGTGAATCCACTATCGTGTTCATTAATTTTTTTTACTGTGATTATTGTTCATAGTATCATTTATCCCTTGTTGATAGAGGCACTGCGCTGTGGATGAATAGTTTTCTTTTTTTTCAGTTTTCATCACGTCATTATTTATTGAGTTCTATTATCCTACTGAATAGTTACATTAGGAAACATATCTAACAGTGGGATGGATTGAGAAGGAGCATTTTTATCCTAATTCGTGTGTATATAACATTGATTTATGCTGTCAATTCAGTAGATTAGTTTTGATGTAGTTCTTTACAAAACAAAAATGTATAAATGAAAACTGAAGTGAAAAGAAAAATCATTTTTCATTTTTCTCTATCGGTTTGTTGACTTTTAAATTAATTCATTACTATATCTCAAACTATAATTAGTCATGAAGAGAGAGAGAGAGAGAGATAAACACGTTCATTTACCTTAAGTGATAGTTATAGTTGTTATCCATATTATCGGTGATAGATTATCACTGATACATTGTCTTGATTAGAAGCTATGATATATATATAAATGTGATGAAGTGTAAGATGCTTTATTCTATATTTATTCAAATTCTTTGATATTGATTACCTGTTTATAACCAATGGCTTTGACATAGACAAAAGTATAAACAATGGTAAAATGAATAACTTGTTTTAAATGTTTATATGAAGATCTGATAATGTTGAAAATCATCATTATACTTTTATTTATTGTTATTTGAACACTGAGCATAGAGTTGCAGAACTCCAATTATGTCCCAACTTATGGACTTACATGACAAGTACTCAATGATTAAGGAATTATTGTTGTAATAGGACTTCTGATATTTGAAAGATAAAATGTTCGATAGTTTGGCTATAGTATTTCTAAGTAAATTGATATGAACTACAGAACTACTTGAAATATCAAAGGACATAAATCACCTTACACAATGTGTAACAGTAATAAACTGATCGCAGTGATTTAGAGTTGTTTCATATCAATAACTGTGTAAGATTTTAGATGTAATTCACCAAAATCTGGTTTAGTGTAGAGACCTTTTGTTTGAAAAAGTTCAAAAATGCAGCCCTGTTTTTACCGGTTTTATAGTTGACATTATTTTGTGTAGAAAACTGCCTTGGAATGTATTTTTATGAAGATATGTATAAACTAATTTTCCAGAAAATGTATCACTTTCAAATATACATAGGTGTTTGAGAGAAATTGTTTCTTTCAAAAACATGACAGTAATTTTTAAGTTAATTCTAAATTAATTCTAAATTGTAGATAAATTTCCTTTATTATTTTAAACTTTTGAAATATACCTGGTGGAATTCTAATGTAATTGAAGTTTAATCTCACCATTATAGTATTTAAATGTAACCTAAAGTTACTTAACAATCAGGTACAACAGAGTCATTCAAGTATACTTCCTACAAGGATTGTATTGTAAAATAGTTTTTGTATGCTAAGTGAAAACGTAACTTGCTAGTCTATTATTAATCTTCAAATAGACGTAATTTGTTTTTTTGACTTATGTAATTGGTTTATTAGTATTATTTTCGAGAATATAGAGATTAACTCCAACTTAGAAGGTAATTTCATTTATGTATCTGGAACCAAACATAAATTTTGAAATAATGAACTGATCAATGTTAGAGCACCATTAGGATTGTGGAAGCACTGGAATGCCGTTTTGTTCTAGCATAAAACTCTTAAGCAGTGCACATCTGAGACCTTCAAAAGAGGGAATCGAATCCAGGGTCTTCAGCACCGCGCGCGAACGCTTAATCATGCAAACGGGAGTCGTGGATATGCATTGTTGATATGGCCCATACTAGGAAGAAATGGAACTCTAGTGCTTTACTATTTCTAGTGGTCCTCCAACATTGATCAGTCCATAATTTCAATGAGATCAAGTCGTCTTGCGAACCATACACTTAGTGATCAACTTATTGTCAATCTGAATTAAGACTCTTAGATTGTTCTATTCTGACTGAAAAATTACTCACCTAATACTGACTTCGGTTATTTGATTGATATTACTTTCATAATTATTTGCATCTGTAGCCAACAATATCAATCAACATGGATGACAAAAGTTACAGATGTGTTCTAATTTAGTTTAAGGCTGTTCTGTAATAATGTGGAATCTAAGGTTTTCAAGTTTAGCAGTGAACATAAAATGTTTAACTTATTGAGCTATTTTTTCCACACCGCTTGTCATTGTGAAAATTAAAACTTTAGATTTTAATTATTCCAGAAAATGTATCTTAGTTTATGGGCAACAGTTAATAGCACTGTCTAAAATAATCTTGATTTGTTAGTTTTCGTTTTAAATGCAATGATGATTCAAATAGTATTCAATGCATAAATATGCATTATTCGAATCGTGATCATACAATGCGTGACATATAATTACCGTCAGTCAGTATATAATGGTTATGACTAAATTTTAGTTATAGAAAAATATAACTTTATTTCACAGAATGCATTAATAAAGTGAATACTTTTGAACTGAAAGGAAACAGCTTAATATCACATGAACCAGCTTGATTTATTTTTCGATCTACAAGTATGTTAAGTATTACTGATTGCTGAAATTATGTGCATATATGTAAATATATGCATATATACAAGGAATTCTCTGTTTATTGGACGTTGAAAGATTAATATTCTTTCATTATGATTTTTAATTTCAATAGTCGCAAAAAAAACAATCCGATGTCAAATACAACACATGAATCACATGTTTAAGCCTTAATGTTATTCATTGTTTATGAAATAAAAATATCTAAGATAAATGTTCCAGTTTTTTTAATTGGAAAAAAAAACATAGAAGTAAATATGTGTAAATAAGTGTTTACATGTTATCAGCAAACTTTATCTATCAAACGTAAATTGTTGTTCAGTTTTTTCTCTCGTTACATATTTTCAAATGTTCACGATAACGTATAAATTTTGAATAATGTATTATTGTACATTGAATATTACGCTCTTGAGAGTAACGATATTAAGTTCCTTAATCCAGTCAAAATGAAGTCAGTTACATATGAATAATGTTTTTGTTCTATAGATAGCACAGATACATTTCGCATAGAATATGCTAAATATTTGTTACCTTTGGCTTAGAAGATGGATAGTCTAGGAGAAGAATACCGGTAATTTTCCCTTCTCTAAAATAAATGCTTTAATCATCAAGCTTTCAGACATTTATCTGGGTTTGTTTGGAAAACGTAAGTGATAGGATTCACTCAACAAATGATAACCTGAAATCAAACTAATTATTATTTCAGATTTTACGGCTTAATTGTTCTGTATCGACAACAGGAGATTTATGATTTGATCACTCGGCTCAAAGAAAGTAACGTCCGCAGAATGATTTATCTTTCGACATATAAGCCTGAAGCCCTTTTTTTAGGGTTACTACCATAACTGAGCCCAGGTAAAGCAAAAGGGTACTCTATGGGGTTAGTATAGGCTTCTTGTAGAAGACAAACTTGCTAACTAGAAGAAATAATTTAATAATTTCTTCTCATCTTTCTGTTTGGGATATTAGCAATGAAATGAATTGTTATTGACTAAATATCGTTGAAATTTTCCTAGAATAACAACAGGCAGTATGAGTTTCTCTATGTTATCAATTTGAAGATGATAAAATTTCAGTTTTTCATTTATTTTCAATGCAACACACTGAATCTTCATTGAGTAAATATTGTTTACAATAATTTCTATATGATAAAAAAGAAAACTCAATCCACTATTTTAATGACCTGAAAATGAAAAACCTAAACGAAAAAGTATCTTTTTTTTGTGAACAGTAATTTTATAATCCTCTCGAAAAAAATCATTTGAATAGAAGAAATACATTTTTATTGTATAAATATGAATTATCAAATAGGATTATGAGTGTGGACAAACTTTGTTAATATTTTTTTAAGTTTATCAAACTGGGTGGTTGAATTGTAAAGTTTCTATATTTATTGTATTCCATACCATTAAAACAAGCTCTGAAATGAATATTTCACGATTAAACCGCCTAGGTCAAGTAATTGATTATCATCACTCTCACACTACTTATGAGGTCTACATCACAGCTATGTCGAAAATTTTTAAACATAGATTTACTATTGATGACCAATCTAAACACTTATTGTCCAATGTTCAATAACATTTTTAACAAAGCATTAATTAAATATCAAAACAATATAAACTAGATGAAAGAATGTTGAGAATTCAGTGATTAATTTCATTTTTCTAAAACGTCAACTTACAAGATTTTCTTCAAAGTTCTTTGCTGAAGTATCTACAAAATTCACCGTATACACTGAACCGCATAGAGCTGTAGTTATTGAATAAGTTTCTAGTTTGTTATCCATTTCATCAGGATCACCTGGTGTTTTTTGAAATGGAATGAAAAAAAAAGAAAAATGAAAATGTGCAATAAATTATATTCATTAGGTGCGCATTTAAAAGTCAACTTGTAGTGCCTCCTCATACATTTGAGTTCGCTTGTATTGAATTTGGTTTAGCCTTTTGATTAGCATATTTAACGAAGCCACTTGTATAACAACAAATTATATGTACTATTGGCTTTTTACTATTGTCTGGTTTGTGTGAGCTGGTACGACTGAACAGTGCTTACGCCTACGCACATATTCATCCCATTCGCTTTAATGTTGTGAATCTCTTAAATATCTCGATGACTCGACATTTCCCTATGTATATATATACGAACATTTTAATTCATTCACCGATTCACCAATTCGCTCGCTAGTGTGCTTGCCTTGCTCTGTGTGTTTGTAGTCAGCTGGTCCGCTTTGTGGTGTGTCAAAAATAAACGTATTCAACCGCTCGTGTTCGCCTTCTGATTTATAACCATCAGGCGGTGTTTGGTGACGATTGACTAGACAAGCAAATTACAAAGACTAAGAACACGGTGAATATCAACCGTCTAGAAACTAGTGATACATTGGCCGCCACAAACTTGTCTTTTCTCTTTATCTCCCTGAAAAAATGCAAATCAGACAGAATATACATAATTAAGTCGGATTTTTTATGTATTATTTTTTTAAAATAAACATATCTGACAACGAATTGTCAATTTGAGATTTAGATGGATAGAATTTATTTGTATTATATCACAAAATGTACAGAAAAATCAAAAGTTCTGCTGTTCAATTCATCTTTTCCCATAAAATCAATAGTTCACTTTGATAAGTATTCAATTACGTCAATCTGTAGGTCTGTTAGATAGTTTTAAAATTGGTTGTAGTTTTAACGATATTTACATTAATTTATTTGATTGTATCTTTATGTTTCTTCTTCAAGACGTCATTATTTATTAATTTAAAAATAAAAACTGTGATTATTTATTAGTTTATTATGATTCTACTACTTAGGACACTGTAGTACTGTGTAATATTTTTTGAAAAGATTACTTGTTACTTTTCTGTCATGTAGAACGAGTGGGTGTGTATTAAATGTTACCATGAGTTATTTTTATCTGTAAAGATTGTAATGTAGTAGTAGTGTTTGTTGCAAAATACACTTACAAGTTCTCGTGTAAAAAGAAATTTATTTTTTACGATTGTTGTATTTCTTTGGTGACAGTTAAATTAATTCTTTTAAACATGAAGTTCGATATCTAATCATAATTAAATGTTAAAATAATGATTTTTGTTATGCTTGTCAATTGATATGCTTGAACATATTACGAGTTCATCTTAGTCGGTAGACGAGAGCGAAGACAAACGATACAGTGACACGATATGTTAATGTAATTCTAGTATTCCAACGCCTAACAAAGTAGAAGAAGAAATCTCGACAAGACTTAGAAATTGTAATCTACAAGCACCCAGAAAATCGAGGTTAACAAGGACACAAATCGACTTTATACATGATCTAAACGTCCTTGAGAGAGGCACAAATTAACTCACTACAATAACCCATCAACTAATGGCAGTCAAGGATTTCCCGGCTATGAAATGTAATCTCGAGGTCAACCGGTCAGCTCATGTGCGAAAAGATAAAATCCAAAATTAGGTACTTTATCAAGTGAGCTCTGGGGGTCAAACGTCCCCAACAGTTTTCAAACTTGACTTTTATTAAGATGAAATATCTTTGAAGAAGACAGATTGCATAACAAATATCACCACTCTGCAATCTGTCTATTGTTAAAATCTTAATCCTACAGGTCATCTGAGTCCACTACAGCTTAACAGCAATGTTTCATAATGCAAATCAATGTGATACGGGAGAGAGCAATATTTCAGTCATAAGTTGCTGAGATCTACCGACTAAAACTTCATATCCATGATTTCTTACTGAATACATCTAACCATTCATGATGAGCGACATATTGGCTTACAGGTTTTCAATGAGTTTTTTAAGATAATATTACTGGTTTGTTTGGTATTAAAAGAATAAATCAGTTAATACTAACTAAGACATGACCGAATAAACTAGAACGTTCGACAGTAATAAATGTTTTACTCTACACGCAACTTAATTTATGTTTATATAATTGGAGAGTATGACATTATTACAGTGAAACAACATATCACGAATCATTTATAATCATGTTATACATTTTTTTTGTTATTGTTGAAATATTAGCTAAACCATTAACAGTTATTAAAATTAAATTTCAGTATAAAAAAGTCATAATTTAATAGGACTTAGAGATTTTGATGAAAAAATGGAGAGAGGGAGAAAGTAGCATCAATGAAAACCAGAAATAATCTATGATTATAAATAAATCTTTCAATAATATCACTTGCCTTTTACCTCAAGTGGAGCTTAGGCTGCCTTCAATCATGTAGTTGACTAATAATGATTTGATTTTGTTGTAGATAGTGATAAACAAGTGCGTCAAACACATGCCTTTCTTTCAAAAAAATGCAATTTCAGTACTTGATGATTACATAGTACAAAATCATTTGAATATGATAATAACTATCTAACAATTAGGTTATAAGATATAAGTTTCGAAGTAGATCTCGTTTTTTAATAGCAGCCATTGAGGAGTTCCTACAGTCTTTGTGTGAATAAATTAATCTTGAATATTTCTAGTTCATAAAACTAATTACATTTTCTTATGCTAATTCACTTCAAGATGAATTCAATGAAATGGATCAGTTAACTGATGTACCAAGTGTGGTGGCAATAATTATTCAAACGAACTTCAGATTGGACAGTTCATAATTTGTATTACGTGTTTCTCTCTTCGAGTGCAAGTTTCAGGTCAAAAGTGAAAATTCAATTTAATTGCATATGTTAGAATTAGTCATAATCAACATACAACTGAGCATCAATGTAATTCAGTTCAGGTTGTCAGCCCCCATTAGCAATAATTGATTATTTCAAAAAGATGAATATCAGTCAGATGAGATCACATAACAGTAAAAAGATTAAATATTGAGAATATGATTCTATCTACAGTACTATCATGGACGAGTATCCAAGTCACTCATGTCTCCATCCATTGCATTTGACGACGACTTGGACAGTAACTAGATAGTCTAAACCTACCGACACAGTTCAAGTCAACAGTAATGTTTTCGTTGACTAATATCATATTTTTCTTCGGCTGCTTCTAACTTTCTTCCAAATTAATGTTGGCCGACTAGACGTGATACATGCTCTCACTACCATAGAGATAGATTCATCGTTTCACCAGCCTTGTCAGGTATCGTAATACCAACCATAGAATCGCTTGCTCGATCATAACATGAAACACAAACAGTGCTTCAGGAACATCAGCCCAAAAACTATCGACAAAGATTCTCGCCCACTTTTATAGACTATATTTCACCCACTAACACGTACAGATGTAAAATAATACACCTATCTAAAAAAATACAGGTTATCAAAAGTAAAAAATCCTTTTTTCAACACCACACCATCAGTGCTAATGGAACTTTTAGGTAAAGTGGTCAAATTGTTCAACTAAGCAACTCATTATAATTAATATTGGTGACTATTCAAACTAATCTCGAAGCAAGATTCCTGAGTCGAACACCCAAACATCTCAATATTGCTGCTATACAAGGTATTCAGGCGACTCTAAAATACGACAGCATCTTCTTTGAAAAAGAATATCCTGGTAGGAGACTTCATGTTGATTAGTAATTTTGAAAAGAGTTAACCATTGGCAAGTAAGATTAAGAAACTGGGAGTTTTAGGTGACACTGATGAAAAATTAGATAAAAATAGGCTAGAGTTCAATCAGAAGAACAACTGTTCCAGTTTACCACAATTTTGTTTAGTTGGTAGTGCTTGTACGGAGAGTCTTCACACGGTGTAAGAAGTATAAGTCATTTATCTTTACCTAGAAAATTGTTATCAACCCCAAACCTTATCCAATGAACAGTTATCATCCGAAAATTTTTGAATGATTTTGAAGTCGTTACTAACGTTGATAAGTAAAAAACAACACCTAGTGTGTAGTTCAGATATGATCATTTTAATTTCTAAAAAAACAACTGAAATCGTTATCCTATATTTTTGTCATATAGTTCGCGAACTATAGTTCCGTTACTTATCAATAATTCAAAAAAGCACAAGAGTAAAATATTTTCATCATCGCGATAGTTTAGATTACATTTTTTAAGCTTTCTCATCAAAGAACTGACTATTAACGAGCCATAGTTTTATTGAAATTAAATATAACTTTGTAATAGCCAATAAACAAAATACTTTGAAAGGTGAAATCTTCTGTGTACCACAAGGAAGCTTCCACAGTCTTTCTAGACATCACTATCGGTAATTGTTTGTACAGACAGTAAGTATAAGAAACTTTTTAAACAAATGATTGGCGGCATATACTGATGATTTGATAGTCTGGTGTACAAGAGATTAAACCTATGCAACCTTCCTCCTGTATTAGAATATTGTCAACCACTCCAGAAATAAAAAGAATGACGTACGTCAAGTACGTTCAGTTATTTAGTTTTACAAACCATTGGAAACAATTTAATCACCTATGATATTCTATTTGAGACCATTAATAGAACCGTAATTCATTTGTATTGGCATTATGAATCTTCCCAATGATAGTTAGAACTAGAATTGACTAGTCTCATCTGGCACATGAGCATCTTGTGCGGATTGCCTCGACATAATCATTAGGTCACAAGCATTCTAAGAAGAGATCGACTCAGCATTTAAGAAAATAACGCAATGACTTTTCAAGCGAACGGCACTGTGTTCGGATCTCGCAGTGAACATAAACTCTGAGATGCAGGTACATCCAGCTGACAAGTCCCAAACAGGACAAAATGAGTGCGCAATACTCCTCTGCTAGCTATTATCCATTTCTGTTTATCATTTACAGAAACATTATTAAAGTAATTGACCATAGCATATATGTTTATCATTTCTCGAATGATCTTTTTATCTAGTTTTCAAATTTAAAGGCTAAGTCGTAGATTGTTGAAACAAGAAATATGTCATCATTAACTAAGCAATTGAGTTATCATTTCAAAAAATGGTGTTTCTAATTTTAGTGTGTAATCAGTGAAAACATCTGTTGATATTTAATCATTTGTTCTTCATCTTTTATTCTAAATTTTTTATGAAACATTTGCTAAATCTTAATTGTTTTTTTAATTTTTTTTTTGATGTTCGTGCTATACAACGTTCATGCTTTCAATAGTCTCAATAATTTAGCACTTAACCTAATTAAATTTTCTGGCGACTAATCACATCCATTCATTGGATGGTTTAAAATAAGAGAAAATCAATGAGTTAACAGAGAAATAAATTCATTATGCTATCGGTTTTTTTTTTCAATGTGAAATTCAAAATGCTTTAAAAATCAAAGATGGAAAGCGTTTGAAAATTCAGTGAAATTTTGTTTCATTTTATTAGCACACTAACTAGATATTTATGAATGAAATCTTGAAACAGGGACAAAATTGGAAAATGTTGAATGCATGCATTTAAATGATTGCTTGTTTTAAATTAGGATTGGAAATCAGAATAATAATTTAACGACTGTGATTTTCAAGTAAAAAATTAATGAACATATTTTAGTCAACACTGTTCAAGAAAAATTTGAAACCAAGAATCAGTGAATGGTTGTTTCGACCCAGTATGTAACTTCTTAGTAAGAATTCACTACCATGCTGGAGATTTAAGTCAGAGTTTCGTTGGGTACGCACATGCCATAGCCCAGTGAAGTTGTAATCTATCACGAATTTTGTCTTAATTATTTAAAAATATAGAATAAAATCTTTATTGACAAAGTTGAACTCTAATTATTTTTAATGGTCATAAAATAGGATTTCTTTAATGAATTAGAAGTTTACCCGGAATTAGTTTATGATAACTTATTCAAAACTTTGAGATTAATAAACTTAAAACTTTTATAAATTGGACTGCTCTTATTCATTCCGCAGTAGAGTTTTGAAATGAAGATAAGATTTAGGAGAGTATGGTTTAATTTGAAGCTGACATAGATTATATACTACTAGCTTTCAATCAACATCAGTGTAACTTCGATTATAATAAACATTGTGTTCGTTAGCAATTAACTTCCAGAATATTAACCGAAATTTCATTTAGACAGATTGAATGATGTAGTTGAAACAGAATATGATAAAGCTAGTTATTGTCGATGAGAGAAGTTATTGTTCTCTCAATGTCATAAACCAGGTGATACTAGTCTTCGCTTATGGACCTACTTGAGATATTTAGGAGTTCAAGCAAACCGCACCTCTAAGAGGTTCTAAACTAGGGCGGAACAAGAACTACGTGGTTCTTAGTCATTGGTGTGTCTGTAGGTTTATGAAAATGATATATTTTGTTATGTTTAGGTCACAGTATTTAACCTACTATTATTGGTCACCAGCTATCACGGGACTTTATCTGCTAAAATTGTTCCATTGTCTTACGGACTCGGACTCCAACTCAAAGGTTCAGGGGACGGTCCTCTAAGAAAATCACCTGCTTCGTTTTCCAAATTTGAAAAATATAATAGCCAACACACAAATTAGTTGATCTGTGTTGTACATAAATATTTAGATGTCTCTTTTACCTATATTTGTGTTTAAGCAGATAAAAGTATGTGTGGTGACTGAGTGAAATATATATATATATATATTTTTTATTTGTTTTAAAAATGACTTAAAGATGGAAGTCAGTGTTTGTGAGATTTATTATGACAGTAGTAGAACACTCATGTCTATGTGTAAGATATTTGAAAGATAATCACATTGGTACAAATTTCAGAGAATACGATTAAAATCAACCACTATCTTTTAGTCGGCATTATGATCAAAGACAAATGACGAAAAGATAAATTTGTATTTTAACAAAAGTTTCACAAAACAACTTTTTTTTCACTAAAACAATTGTGTTTTCTTTTTTTAATTATGTTGTAAAATTTTACTTATTAATGCATGAGTGATTTTATTCACTGATAATAATAGTACAAGTCAATATTTATTGAAAAAGACATAGAAGCAAATTTACATCAATGGATAAATAATCATTAAGGTCAAAGTGGATTAAATTGAATAAACAATGTGTACTGAAACATTGAAAAGCTTGCCTTGTGTTGTTTATTTAACTAATTTTGATGCTTATTTCACTTTATGGCTAAATTATTCAAAGTTTTAAACGGAACATCGCCATGGTAACAGTGATTTTTTTTCTGTTGGATTCTACATTTAACACAGGATCTTCATGAAAATTACCAGTAATAAATTATTACTATGGTAACGTACATTTTTTAATTTTTAAATAACTTTAAAATTACTAATTTATCAGCTTACACAAAAATATGATTTGTTATATACTACTGAATAAGAATAAGTAAAGTGATTAATCAACATCACAAATACCTAATCCATAAGTACATTTGATCACCAAGTTATTACTTTACGAAACACTCAACATCGTGATCACTGGATAACAATAAAGAAACGCTCCTAATTTATGCATAATTATAATTTGCATAACTTACTGAATGGCTGACTGTAACTATAAAACCGTTGAAAACGAAGATGTTGTGAACAGATAGTTTGCTTTAGATTGTGACTTTTCAGGTTCTAAAATAAGTTAAAACCAAGACTTTAAGTCTCAAGAAGTGAAATAACTTCAACTTTTGACTACTCAGACTACTCAGTATCCAGTGATTAAGCATGATTATATCACGGCTGAATACTTATTCAACCGCAAACTAAAATGTGATATAATGATGACCATTAAATACTGATTAATGATTAATTTTTGAAAGCGAATCCAGAACCTCAATGGAGAAGCGATCAGAAACGAAATTCACCTCGGGGTAGGAACAGGATAAATTTTACTAGTAACAATGTGTGATGGTAGTGTAATATCGTTAATTGACTACAAACAGTAATATGAATTCTTTGATACCATCATAGTCCTTTGTAAGTCAATAGTTTACTGGAAAGTCTTCTGGTACAGCGTTGATGCCATAGTGGTGTCATTGACAAGTTGTACTGAAGAGTCTCTCACCAGTACGAAACAAACATTTTGTCCTTCATAGTCTCCAACAGTTGTTCAAGCTAAGTTAATCCATGTCGTTAAATATGGAAAAATTTCACAGTTTACTAATTTTACTTAGAATTTTAAAAACTAATAATTTTTTTAAATAAATTTTTTAGCAAACATTTTTAACGTCACTAAGTATAAATGTAAACCGAGATGCAAGTTATTTGTTACTTTCAAAAAATGAATAGTTTTTGATAGCTCATAATTTTTCCTCTTTTATTTTCACAGTGAACAGATAACATCGTTATTAATATGGTAAGTTATCTTGACGTAATCGAAAATTTGGTCTTTTTTTGGACATTAATCTTTCATCCAATTTCTATGAAAATAAAAATTTATTACAGTTAACTGATTATGAAGTTTTGTGATTTTACTACTGTTAAAATACCATTTCAATTTTCAATTCCTACTCAATTCATTTCATTAATAAAAATTTATTATCATCAATTATTGTGTGATATAATTTAATGTGATGAGCAAGTTAGAGTTAGAAATTTTAATGCACACTGTTAAACAATTAGCAAATTAAAAAATAGTTTGATTTTAAAATGCAATTAATATGATAGAAGATTGAAATTTGTACAGATACTGTAAATGGTACATGAAAATAGGCTCTGATTAAGACATAATAACGCATAAGTAAGAGAATGAGCAAATATTTTTGGAGTCAATCCAAATGCGCTATCAGTAAACTCTAGAACTGCACGAGGTGTAAAATAAGGCGACCATCATTTGTTTTAGTGTTTTTGTTATAACGGATTTTGAATATTATAAACAAATCCACAAAAAAGTAGTTTATATTAGTGCGCTGTTATTACTGATGGATCCTAGAGATTAGTAAGTATTATGGTTTACGTTATGAACTAACCAAAGTTAGGGAACGATGGAATAGTAGTGAGGAGTAGGCTTTGTTGTAGCATAGTGTTGGAATCCTAAGCAATGTAGTACTCTTGTTTAATATCGTGAATCGATTGCAGTATACATGTAAGACATCAAATGAGTGATCTCAAGGTCAAATACTAACCGCTTGGTTTGAAGTTCTTAGCTCTAATCTGTGATTGGACCACAGATGTATACTGATGAAGAGATCTAATCTAATATGAAACAACTGTTGAGTTCTGTCTAGTTTTGTCTGAATCAGTTCATGATGTGGTCAGTATACCTTAAGGAAAAATTTTGTCTCTTTAAATGAGTAACAGTCTTATAACTTTTAGACAGATATTCTTCATGATGAATTCAACAGAATAAACAATATTTTCCCCAATTTAGCCACTTGATAATTAAAAAGTAGTGATGGCCGCCTATTACCCCAAATTGGTTTGGGTTAGATATTTTCACCATGTGACGCTGGTTCAGCGGTCCGGAGATTAGGCGTTCACGCGCGAGTATTGAGCTCCTGAGTTTGATCCTAGTTCAGGTGAGTTCATGAATGTTGTTGGCTTCAAATCGAATCCTGGTATGTCAGCTGCCTCCCTATGTTGGTGTACCTACTGTCAGTTCGTCATATAAGACACTGATGACCTGTTATAATTTTAAGAATACATATCAAATTATTATTTTTGCCCGGATAAAACAATCAAAAACTATAATTTCAAAGCCTAATATATAAAAATATTCTACCGTTTATTTCGACTTAACAATATTTAAGAAAAATAGTTTATGATATAACATAAAGTTGATTTGAAGACTCTATATTTTATAATGCTACATGAATATTGATGTGAATAGTAAATCTTTAACAATAAATCTACTTACAATTTGATGAATTGCCATCTACTAATGATGCCAGTTGATTACATAATGAAGTTTTACCAACACCTGATACACCTAAAACTTGTACTTGATAAAATGTTAATCCTGGTTCATCAGCAAATACTGAATCCATTGATAATGGTACACCTAATGGACTTGTTGGATTATCAATATCGTCCATTGTTAAAGGAATAGATGGTATAGATTTTGGTGGAGTAATGCATAGATTTGAATAACTATTAGTCATTGAAGTATAGCTTAAAGTTGCTGTCACAGGACGTTTGTATAATGATGATTTATTTAAAGGATCTTCTTCTGTACTCGCTCTTCTAAGTTGACCTTTACTAGGAGGTTTTAAATAACTGGCTTTAGTTGATTTTGTGCTTTTTGTGTCCAATGCAATTCCACTATTATTGGCACCATAATCAATGATACTTTTTTGTCTTTCTAAACTAGTTTCACGTACTGAATGACTTCGACTATTGGAAGCGGATAATGTAGGATGTAATGATTTCTTTTTGGGTGATACTTTTTTCTCTTGATCTCTTGAAACATTAGCTATATGACAAAAATAATCAAATTCATCCATAACATTTCCAATAGTTGACGTAGTCAATTGATCAGATTTATTTTGACTGTTAAGTGTATTAGTTGATGAACAATGTATATTGTCATTAGTAGGATTCAAATAATCAACGTTATTTTGAAATGAACGTGATTGTCTTACCAATCGACCACGTCTATTAGTACTGGTATTGGTAGGATTGTGTAAATTTGTCCCTTCTAGCCTAACATTCAATTCATTTTGTGAATGTAAACGTTGACTAGACAGCGCTCGACTTTGTATACGATTATTATCATTTATGTAATAAGGTTGATAACTCACATCATTGTAATCAACACTACTACTGTCCCCATCAACACGTAATGAAGCAGTTCGATTATTAGGCCGTAATAAACGACTTGAGTTTAATCTATCTCTTGTTAGTTTAGAATTATATGTAAGTTCTGAACTGAATTTATCTGTTTTTCTTGTATCAAAAGTGTGTTCATCATCACCATTATTGCTATTATTACCACTGATATTATTATTATCATCATTGTCATCAGTATCAGTATCATTGACTAAACTAATTTCTATTGATGGTGTCACAGTCAAATAACTACGTTTCATTATTGGCGTTGTTGATTGGTTTTGATTGGATTTACTATTAACAGTGTTATCGCGATTCGCCATAGGTTTACTCAGCGTCGATTTTAATTCACTTTGTTTGCATACATTGCTTTCTTGTGCATAATTCAAAGGAACGCTATGATTGTCAACATTGAATTTATTTTGAAAACGACTATCTAAACTTGATGCTCTCAAAATATTATTTAAATTTTGTCGATACCGTTGTGTTGTACATGTTGTTGGAGATAATGGTGTAACCGGTAGAGAAGAGGATGAAACTGATTCATTCGATGTAAAATTTGACTCAGATACAGGTAGACTTAGGTGTATAAAATCATAGATTCGACCGGATTGATAAGGTATATTCGCTGATGATCTATACTCTCTTCGTCTATTCTCAATGGGATATTGAGAATTTCTTACAGATTTATTATCATAATCACTTGTAGTGGATGAATTGCCGAATCTTGACAATTGTTTTCTTTGTAACGATGGAGTAGAAGTCGGTGATGTTACTATTGCTGCTGTTTTCGATGCATAAAAACTATTTTCATACAAATCGGAATTTGTTGTATTTGAATAGAATCCTTTTTTCTTGGAATTTGGTGAATTTTTTCGTATGGCTAATATAAAATAAGAACAGAGAAATGAGAAGTGAAGTTGACATTCATTTTTTTTTCTTCCAAAATTGGAATAAATAAATAAATAAAATGTTTGTTTTTCAAAAGTTTGTCACAAGTAAATTACTCATCTGGAAGTTTCTATTTGATTGGATATTTACTGACCATTTGAATATTTATATATAATCCAATCCAAAGTAATTAGATTAAAAAACTGGCATCAAACTTAGAATCTCCTTAGTTTTATTTATTTATGGAAACAGTGGACAGATTTATATATTTCAAAAGTTTTCTATATTTTTTTCCAAAAAGAACTTATCAAAATTGTGTCCAACATGAGAGAAGTATTAGCAATAACGAGGAATGATAATTATACAACATTTTCAACTCAATGAAGTTGGATGTATAAACTATCAAATTCAACCTCTAAGTAGGGTTAGTTGAAACAAATTATACATTAGTGATCTAGTCTTTTGTTAGTTTGATTGTGTATGACATTTCCATGTTATAAACGGTAGCTAACGAATGAATGCCAGATGAAAAAAGTGAAAATCATTTTAATGTTATAACATTATCCTAACAAAGGGATTCATGCATTATTTGTGAGCTGAAAAGATGAATCGAATATCAGTTGCCTGTTCTATAAACTTATAATGAGTTTATTTCTTGATCGACTTAAGGTTTTGCATATGTCTCACTTTTTGCAACTTTGTGTAGGTTGCCGCTTCAGAGAATAAATACTGTGAAACATCATAAATTTAGTTTTCCATTATTTACAGAGCGAAAGCTCTGTGTTCCGCTACCAAACACTATAGAACTTGAATAAATAAAACTTGTGACAACATGGAAATATCAAGACAATCCTACCACGTTACAGATATCTCATTCATTATTGATGGATTACTTGTAGACTTGAACACCAGTAACAGAAACAAGTTAATTCATACAGATTGAATTACAATATCGGTCACAGAAATTCTTATCGCATGACATCTAATATTTCGTATGTCAATAATGTTTGTATGTACCATGTGACCTGAACAAAGTTGAGATATTCTAACAAAATATCTCCACTCACCTTACAAGAGTGAAGTATTTTCTAGTTTTATTCAACCTACTTACACTGCGTTAGTAGTCATGGCAATAACAGTATTTTTAACGCAATATAACATGGATAATTTATATCAAAGCAAAAAATATACAAGCAGGAAAGGTTTCATTATTATTAATATTATTCCTGAGACAAACCCATCCCATGTGTATTATCACAGTACATCCAGCTTAATGACACTTTCTTACAGTTTTTGGAATAATCAGACAACACACTTAATGACTGATAAGAACAAAGCGACTATATATATATATATATATATATATATATATATATATATATATATATATATATATATATATATATTTGAAAAGAACGAATTAAAAATTCCAACTTTATTTATAATTAAAATTTCTTACTTTTCACCAGATACAAACTTTACTATGTTAACGCAACATTTCAACAAAATTATTTATTGTTCTGTCAACCAATTTCTATATACTCAACCATGTCTATACTGGGATTGTTCTAATAATTTAGCATCTTTGGGAAATCATTCCTCAACATCACATCAAAAAAAACTGTTTCAATCATCAGAAATGAGTTCTTACTTACAGTACAGAATAATTTCTTAAGTAAATGCAGGTCAACTGCAAGTACATGACATCACAAACAAGCTAGATGAATTTCAATGGATGATTCAGTCCTATTAGGAATTTCGAATGTAGGCGAGGACATGAAATTTTCCAGTATTACGCAATGTTGTTCAATATTCAATCTCTCATGAAATTTAATTGATATATAGCGGCATTTCGTATAACAAATCAATAAAATAAAAACAAAACAATTCACTCTGTAATAGATGATCAATGATATTGAACATGCAATAACTTGATACACTTTGATAAGTGTAAAAACAATTGTCAGAAATGTGTAGAGTTATGAACATGCATTGGATATTTGAAATTTCCACCGGTTATTCTTGCAAAAATATATATATATATACATATATATATATGTGTATATCACTATTAAATTTTAGTAAATAAAACAGCCTTCTCCTTCCACAAACTGAATGTAACCTGAGCAAAACTGATACTTGTGAATCAGGTAACATGAACAGTTGAATGATACAGCATAGAAGACAGTGAAGGCTTTATAGTACTCAAATTATTCTTTTTTTCAACAAAAAAAAATACATTTTTGGTGATAAACAGATTTTATTGAAATTTGATCATTAGTCAACACGTCATACAAAACTAAAAAAATTATGATAGAAATTTAAGTATGAATTTTAAAACTGAATTAAAATAGATGAACACCCATAACATTTTATACTGGGTACACATACATAACACAAAAACACGAATACAAGAGAATTTTTATATATATTGAATTAAATTATTATCTTGTGTTTCATCTTATCCTAAAAATAAATTTAGTAATGAAAATATATGCAATTTTTTTTCTTATTATACTACTACTAATACTTTACGTAGATTTTGTTAAACTTCTATACTGTACTAGACTGTACTATACACTTATACTAGATATATATATATACTATATATACGACTGTAAAGCGAAAATTCGCATTCAGTTACTGGGAAAAAAGAGCCAATAAGTGTTTTTCTTCAGTTAGTTTCTTAATATGGCTCTACATTCAGAATAATAAAATATACCATTTAACTGGTGTATCATTGAATAATTTTACAAATCTAGATGTTTATGAAGATAATTGTAAATGATTAATAAAATTAGTTAGAAGATAGAATATACACACTGGAAACATACATGGTTTAAAGATTGATAAAAATTGATAAAATATTTGTTAGCATGTTTAACGCAGCAGTTATGGAGACATGATGGAAAAATAAAAAGCTAACTGACAAGAAATATCCTTTTGATTTTACTTATTTCTCATTCTTAGTTTGTAAATGTAAGAAATTGCATCTAAGCTTTTCAATGTGTATACAATGTACAACTCTATGCTCAACAAAAAAGCAAAATATTTGTCTATGAAAATCACGAAACATTAGGATTGACTGAGTTATATTTAATAGAGTTTTTAACTAATGTAGAATATAATATACTACATAGTAGGATGAGCGATCTTGTGTATCATAAACCAGCTGACTTAGTGCAATCCTGCTGACAAGTTTAATCTAAATTTTTATATAACTAAGAATGAAGTAACATATTGTAGCTGAACAAACTAGTCATTCTGATGTCTAAAGGATCTGAATAAAATAGGCATAGGAAAATTTACTGGATGAAATGAACTTATCACATTTCAAATCTGCCCGTCGACTACAAATCATTACAAATGCTGAATAGTACGGTTCAAATAAATGATCTGACAAATTTTAGTAAATAACGTTAAAATAAATGTTTGAAACAAGATAAAGACGTCATAAGAAAGGGAAAACAATGCTAGATTTTATATTAATAGAACATGTATTTTACTTATAGTCTTCTGAAATGAACCAAACAATTATGATAGAAAGCAAATTATATTTGTCACATATCCTTGTAATTAATGAATAAATGTCTGAATTATGTTACACACATGAATCGATCAATGTTAGACCACAATTAGAAACCTGGAAGCACTAAAATGGGACTCGTCAGCAATGCGCATCCACGACTCCTGCACCTCGCAGGACTCGAACCCGTGGCCTTCGATCTTGCGCTCGGACACCTAGCCTTCGTACCACTGAGCCGGTATATAACGGTGTTAATGTCTAACTTTGAAAAATTCATGGAGTTGCGCAACCTCATACACTGTCTTCGGTAGTTACTGTCTACAACAAAACAGGTTGAACTTCACTGGTCACAACTTCCCACGAGAACTGGAAGATTCCTCACGAAGCTAGTCACTGGTGAGCACATGTAATTGCACTACACATTTGAAATCATGATGAGTCCCATACTAGGCCGTCCAGTTCTTCCAGGTTTCTAATGGTGGTCTAACGTTGATCGATCCATGATTTTAAATGTGCAACTTGACAATCTTCACAATGCAGTTAATAATGTATTTACTCATTGTGTTTTGCCAATTTTTTCATAACATTCACAGTATTTTTCTTTTTTAGCAAAATCATATAATTATTAGTTTGTATTACGATAATTATCAATATAAATAATTTTTCAACTTATACTAACAACACATGAAACTTATAATTTCTTGCCATATTTGAAATAACTATCATAGCTTCATTAAATAAACCATGTCAAAACTTTGTTTCCAGACACTCACTTTTAAGATAGCTTTATATTGTATTTTAGTGAAAAGAATTACAATACAGTAAATAAATCTCGTTGTATTACTTAATTCCAGGTGTCGTTTTTGTTCAAATTTATTAAACTATTTGAGCAAATTAGGAAAATTATAACGAAATTTGGATTTACTTTTGTCCTTATTGATTTTATTAGCCAGCTGATTAGTTCATCGGTAACGGCTTAGACAGTGAAGCTCAACGAAGTATATTTAAATCGTGCACGGAATATCAGCTCTTTCTATATTATCGGGTACACTTTGCTGATGAGTGTCAAAGAGCACGGAGCCAAGGTCCATAGTTTCCAGCCTGAATGCCGCCAATTACCCTACATCTTGGTGTAATATAGGTGCGTTGAATCAATCAAATTAGTGACATATCCAATGTAACTGTTAGAACTTGATCGACATTAAAGCATTAGACAAGAGTGACATCAATTTCCAATAGATGATCAATAAATGATATGGTGAAATTTTTCACCCTCGAGCAATTTGAATGATAGTACAAAATTTGATTAAGGACAACATAACTTCATCCGAAATATGTCCTAAATAACGCTTTTTGAATTAAGTTCAATGATTTTATGTTACAATACGGAATGCATATCAAAAGAGAGGCTTTGAAGTGAAGAGCTAACAACAGTGTGATCCATAGTGAAGAGGGAGAATAAGGTT